TTTCTTAACAACTCTATACCTGGCCGCTATGAGTTGGAACTGGGTCCATGGCACCAAACAACAACAACAAATAGAATCCTAGGGAAAAAAGAAACAAGTTAATATGAACTAATTGGCATGGTTATGGCTATGGTTGTGGTGGTGGTGGTAGTACTTTGTTTCTTATATGAGCACAAGGGTTTGAGAAAGGGGAAATAAGCCTCAACAAAAGATAGAAATGGGAGAATAGAAAAATAAAATCAGCTCTCTCTGGAAGTTTTCTAACTTCTAGAGCAGGGAACATAGGGGCTCAAATAAGCTGTACTTCCACCTAGAAGTCCGGCGATTCCTTGCAGAACAGTGTCCCATCACCTCCATTTCTTTTCATGGGCTCTTCAATTAGCACACCACCTTCCCACTATGACTTATCTCAACAGGATTCTGAGATCTCAGCAAGAGTAAAGACGGGAACAGGAGAGGAGAAAAGAACTCAGATTGATTCCTTGGTCAGAAACAACAGACCTACAGCTCCCTTGGCCTGGAGGCACAGCCTGAAGCTGAGGGCACTGCTGCCATCAAACTGGAGTGAGACGTTCCCTGAGTGGATACCACCCACACTGGCCCAGACACGGCACTGCTCACTCCACTTACTACTACACATAACAAAAGCGGACAGGTTCTCCATATAAGATGTTCACTCTTGGAAAACAACTGGAAAAGCCTAAATATTTATATCCTAGTTGATACTAAAAAAACAATAGAAAAGAGTGATTTTTCTGTACGAGCTCAGCCATGAGGGCTGAACTTTGACAACACTCTCCACACGGGGTATTCACCAACAACTAGTTTTGGTTGTTTGTTTCTGCCTGTTGTGTTGTCAAGTGCCGCCAAGTCAGTTTCAACTCATAGCAACACTGTATAGGGCTTCTGAGGAGCAGCTGGTGGGTTTGAACTACTGACCTCACAATAGTTACCCTACAGCACCACAACCAGGACTCCTAGCTGCTTTTAATTTTCTCTAAAGATAGAATTTAGTTACTTTGTATTCATCAATTAAATTCTTTCTTGCTGGATTTAAAAGATGTGGTGATAGATCTCTTAGTGGTTGTGCTTACGAACAAACTGAAAAATTTTGTTTCTTTTAAACTTTGCTTGACTGTCTAGGAGAGACTCCTTCCTCATAATCCACCTTCTGTGTGTCCCTGAGGTGACATCCTAAGTCACTTACACCCATCCTCAGTGTCACTCAATAGAATAAAATCTGGGTAACAAATTGTTGTTGTTAAGTGCTGTCAAGTCAGTTCTGACTCATAGTGACCCTGTATATGGTTTCCAAAGAGCAGCCGGTAACCTTAAACCACTGACCTTGCAGTTCAAACCAATCTTGTAGTCTAGCGCATTAACCCACAGTGCCACACCAGGACTCCAAGGTAACAAATAGCACTAAGCAAATTGGAAAAAAACAAATAAGCATATTTTCCTTCTAGCATATTCTTCCAAATGTGATTGTGTGATTTCATTCTGTTACTAATGTGTATGGCATCCTGGTGTGGGGCTGTAGGATAAGAACTGGACTGTGAGTCACAACGTGGGCAGTTCAAACCCACCATTTGCTCCTTGGAAGCCCTATACCAAGTGGCTACAAGTCTGAATAGACCCAACATCATTTAACAACAACAATGTGAATGGGGAGTATGGTGGCTCTGCAGGATAAACACTGGTCTTTGAACCACGAAATTGGTTCACCAGTCACTCTGAGGGAGAAAGATGAGACTTGCTGCTCCCTCAAAAATCTGCAGCCTCGAAAATCTTATACAAGGTTGCTATGAGTCAGAACCAATTTGACGGCACTTAACAACCTGGTGTGGAGCTGTGGGCTAATGCGTCAGACTGCAAAGTCGTTTGAACTGCAAGTCCGGTCGTTCAAGCTCACCAGCTGCTCCTTGGAAACCCTATACAGGGTCGCCATGGATCGGAATTGAATCAAAGGCACTTAACAACAACAACAGTAATAAGACGTATACATCTGTACAGTTGTAGTGAGATATATATCATTTGATATAATTAAAATTGCATTCCTAAGTATTTTTCCAAGAGAATTGAGGATACATATTCATAAGTGTATAAAGATGTTTATGCCAACTTTATTCAAAATAACTAAAACCTGAGAACAACCTAAATGTTCACAACTAGGTGACTGAATATATAAGTAGTGGTAAGAGTTACACTGTGAACTATTTGTTGTTGGTAAGTACCATGGAGTTGGTTCCGATTCATAGTGACCCTTGTACAGGGTTCCTGAGGTTGTAAATCTTTATGGGAGCAGAAAGCCTCATCATTCACCCATGGAACAGCTGGTAGTTTCGAATTGCTGACCTTAAGGTTAACAGACCGATTTGTAACCACTACGCTACCAGAGCTTCTTTAGTGAACTATAACTATTTAATAATAAAAAGGATCAGACTTGGAGCAAATTGATGAATCTCAAAATTACTATTTGGACAAAAGATGCCAGATACAAAGAAGAATATTGTATTTAATTCCATTTATTTGTGAAACCCTGGTGTGGACTCCTGGTGTGACACTGTAGGATCAGCATTGCACTTCGAACCATAAGGTTGGCAGTTCAAGCTCATCAACTGCTCCTCTGAAACCCTATATGGGTCACTATGAGTTGGAACCAAGTCTATGGCATTTAACAACAACAACATATGTGAAACCCACCCAAGATGCTGGAAAAAACACCCGGGTTATCTCTGCACATTGAGAGAACCATCAACTGTAAAGGGCTTGATGGGGCAATGAAAATGCTTTGTATTTTGACTTATTGTGGTTACCTGAATAAAAACATTTGTCAAATCTAATTGCAATATAATGTAAATGTGTTTGCTGTTTGCAAATTATACCTCAATAAGCACACGGATAACCATTTTATTCATTAAAAATAATTTAATTCAGATCTTCAGAAAGATTTAAGAAATAATTGCTGCTATGAATTAAGAACTGTTTTGTTAAGTGCTTTCAAGTTGCTGTTGTTATGTGCCATGGAGTCGGTTCAGACTCACAGTGACCCTGTACAGGGTTTCCGAGGCTGTAAATCTTTACGTGAGCAGAAATCCTCATCTTTCTCCTATGGAACAGCTGGTCGTTTCGAACTGCTGACCTTGCAGTTTGCAGCCCAATTCGTAACCACTACGCTACTAGAGCTTTCAAGTTGGTCCCTACTTATAAGGGCCCTATGTAGGGTTTCCAAGGAGCAACCGGTGGGTTTGAACTGACGACCTTGAGCTTAGCCTCCTGTTCTTATCCTAGAACATCGCACCAGGACTCCACAATGAGTAAGTAAATCAGAACAAAAGGAATTGTTCTTAGGAAATGACATTACATTTTCTGAAATACAGCCATGGCCAAAAATAGTAATCTAGAATATAAAGTTAAAGAAACCTAGACTACAGAGCAAATAAACTAGTATTGACAAAAATACTGACAATGAGAAAGAAATTTAATTCAAGCAGAGTAACAATCATCTAAAAAGGGAGATTATACAAATGAAGAGAAAAATATTTTTATAAATAATACAAGAAAATGTCCAGAAACTGAAGAAATAAATTGGTTCTCAATTTTAAAGGGCTCATGGAGCCCTGGCCAAGGGGAACAAGCAAAAGGGCAAGTTTTTGTGGAAGTTCAAACCCTAAGAACAAAGGCAAAAAAATGAAAACGTGACAGAGGAATTCAAACAGGAAACAACACAACGCAATGCCTCATAACAGGGTGAGTCTGTTGAAAAACAGGAGTTCTGTGCAGTCTCCTATGTGATGAAGATGAACAGCCAGTTGGCACATGTCCCTGATACAAACAGCAACATGATACTCAAAGCTTTCTAACCAGCTTGTCAGCATAAGGATCAAGCTCCATATTAAAGGGGACAGTATGAAAAGAAATAAGTCAGATGTATGCTCAGGTTGGCAATGTATTGTTTTTGTAGCCGTACCATTCTTGTTTTACTCACCACTGGTTCTCTGTTTTGTGACAGCAATAAACTTCTACTTGTTTAAATCATGGTTGCTTCGATTTTCTTTTATACAACACAAGCACAAATGTATCTGGCATAATGCTTTTTAACAGATGGTATGACTTTGTATTTTGCAGTGAATTTTGAATCAATAGTAATTGTAGATTAACTATTTTTTGGAATAAATTAACAACTCCACTGTTGATATTTCTATTCACTGCTGACATGGAAAGTATCTTCTTTTAAATATACAGAAAGTGGTTTGCAGACTAGATTTCTGATGGATATGAATTGAAATAGAATGGATATATATCTCTTATAAATGCCCAAATTTACCAACACTTGTGATTTACAAAGGTCAACACATATAATAAATAGATGACTTTCTTATTGTTAGTAGCTTAAACATGTTGGATATTAATAAAACCATAAAATGTTACATGGACTCCTTTTAACAAGTTTATTAGAAAACAACAGACTGCACATATTTAAAGTATACAGATATGCAATTTAATGACCTTTGAAGAAATTTTAAAAAATTGAAAGACCTATGAAACCATTACTACACTCAAGACAATGAATAAAAACAGCACCTTTCCCACAATGTGGTCATCTAACCTCCCTAACCTGCCCAATTCCCAGGTCCTCAGACAATCATCAATCTTCTTTCCCTGACTATGTTGTTGTTGTTTACTGCTGTTGAGTCAGTTCCTACTCATGGCAATCCTCTATAGGGTTTCCGAGGAGCAGCTGGTGGGTTTGAACCCCTGACCTTGGGGTTCAAACTGACTTTGTGATCTAGTGCTTTATCCTACAGTGCCACCATCAGGACTCCTCCCTAACTATAGATTTGTCTGTGTTTTCCAGACTTTTATGTAAATAGAATACTTTTTGGTCTGACTTCTTTCACATGGAAAATTTATTTGAGATCCATTCATGTTGTTGAATGTGTTGATAGCTCATCCCTTTTAATTGCTTTTAAATGTTTGGATATACCATTGGTGTTTAACTATTTATATGTGGGTGAATATTTAAATTGTTTCTAATTTTTGGTTATTACAAATAAAGTTGCCATGAACAGTTGACTACAAGTCTTTACATGGGTATATATTATCTATGCTCTTTTTGACAATAAATATGACACCATTCCTCTTAAATTTGCCAATCATGGCCTAATAATTAATATGATTGGAGGATTCAAAATGGCCAATACCTTCTGGGGATGATGAGAGAATCTTTTGAGATGGAATGTGAAGTTCAATGCTGCCTGTGTTAGGCTAATAGCCACATGCCTACAAGGAAGATCACATAATACCACTATTATTCAATATTAGGATAGGAGTAAGGTCCAGATAAGGTGTTCCATGTTAAAATATGCATAGAACAAAACCAAATTGTATAGAAAGTAAACATCATCATCAGTGGTTCAAGTACATGAGCTATTCTTAGAACAACAAAAAATATTTCTGATGGAATTCCTTCTGACGGGAAGGGAAATAGTAGAGTTGAGGAGAAGGCAACACTGATATATAATGGAGGGAAGTATTTGGCTTTAAATGATTTCTTCCAGGGGTCACAGTGTGGTAGACGTCAGAAATCCCGTGTCTTCCTTACATCTCCACTTCATAGTGGACCACTTAAATAGGAGACCAGAGCCTTGTTCCAGCGTACAGATAAAAAAATGAGATTCACCCCTAACAAAAAAGCTTTCTACTGACATATCTTTCCTGGAAGCTATGTAAATCAGATGAGTGTTTTCTGAAATTCTGTGCTAAAATGTATTAAAAAAATCCTAGTTGCCACTGAGTTGCTTCTGACTCCAGGTGACCCTATGTGTGTCAGAGTAGAACTGTGTTCTATAGAGCTTTCAATAGCTGATTTTTGGTTGGAAGTGGATCATCAGACCTTTCCTTCAAGACACCTCAGGGTGGTGGACTCAAACCTTCAACCTTTTAATTAACAGCCAACCACTTAACCATTGGTGCCACCTATGAACTCCACTAAAATGAGCAAGCTGGGCTATAATAAAATGCATTTTCTTCTAAAGTGAGATGTTGTACTTTTTTTTTCACTTGATGCTACACATTAAGGAGTCCTGGTGAGGTGCTGTAGGATAAGCACTGGACTGCAAACCACAAGGTTGGTGGTTCAAACCCACCAGCTGCGCCTTGGAAACCCTATACAGGGTCACTATGAGTCAGAACCAAGTCAATGGCACTTAATAACAGCACATATTTAAGATATTATTGTTGCTCCTCACAGGTATTTACATTTACAAAATGTCTGGACTTTCAATGTTTTTCTTATGGTGAGAACAGAAATTCCCACTGAGAGAAGCACATATGCTAGCATAGGATTTTTCATTATGAGATCAGTCAATAGAATGGAAATGTATCTAACAACATCCTCCATGTCTTGACTTCTGGTTGTGACTGTAGCTGTAGCTGCTCTTATTAATCCTGAATTAGATATAGATAAGGCATGTAGTTATTTGTAACTGTAACTATTCAATGATTCATTTGTGATTTTTAGAGTCTCTGCTTTCTTCACTATTACAAGGTAAGTAGGATTTTCTTTAGTTCAAGTTTTCCTTTCTGCCTTGAAAGAATTACTTGTTACTCTAAGTTCTCCCTTGCTTTGTCTTACCAGTTGACATTTCTGCAGAGAACTAACTGCTAACATCCCTTCTTCATCCAGGATCTCATCTCTAAAAAGAATTGGGATACAGCAAAACCCATCTGGCTAACAACAGCCTGGCACTGGTACAATGACAAACACAAACCAATGGAAGAAAATTGAGAACCCAAAGTGAATCCATGTACTTATGGATGCCTAATGGACAAAGGGCCCAAATACATTAATTAGTACTGGCAATATCCATTTATAGCAGAATGAAACAAGACCCATGTCTCACACCAAATACAAAAATAAACGTAAGATGTGTAAGACACCTAGAACTGTAAAGATCATCAATGAAAATATAGTGGCATACACAGAGGCCCTGAATCATGGCATAAATTGACTATCAAATATAACTGAAAACACACAAACAGCAGAAGACAAACTAGATGACTGGGACCTATGAAAAATTAGACTTCAGTGCATCAAAACAGAAAAAAAGAGAACCCAAAAACGTGGGAAATAAATTTTGGCAATTACATATCAGACTAGGGACTAATCATATCTAATGTTTATTTAAAAAAATCTCTTAACACCTCACAAGAAAAAAAGCAAGTAATCGAATTTTAAAATAGGTTAAGGATGTGAACAGACACTTCTCCAAAGAACACTCAGATGGCCAACTAACATGAAAAGATGCTTAGCTCATAAAATCATTTTGTTGTTGTTGTTAAGTGCCATTGAGTCAGATCTGACTCACAGCAATCTTGTAGAGGGTTTGTGAGGAG